ATCCTCAATAGTCGATTACGGTGTTAAATCAACTGCTGAACTTCGTAAGAATCCAAGTTTGAGTTCTCCAGACGAATGTGCTAGAGCTTGCAGAGAAGGAGAACCATCTAAAATATGTTATTACCATTTCACGTTGGAACTTTACAACGTACTCGGAGCGTGAGTATTAATAATAATAATAATAATAATAATAATAATAATAATAATAATACCACAGACGTTTTTTTTTTTTTTATTTAACTTTTAATTAAAATAAAAAATAATAATAAACGAGTTTTCCCTCTCTTTCTTTCTATCTTTTCTGTTTTTTTTTTTTAATCTCTCACAACCATCTGGATAAGATAAAAATAAAATATTATTATTATTAAGTTAAAATTTATTTAATGATTCTCTTATTTATATTACTATTTAACGTGTGTGCACACGCGCACACGCACACATTCACGCACATTATATTTATATATAAATGCTTTCACTTTTCTTTCCTTTTCCTTTTTTTTTTGTTAAAACTTATTTATTTTCTCGTTTTTCTTTTGTTTTTTTTTTATGTTTTACGTAACTTAATTTATTAGTAATAGGAGTGATGGTAGTAGTGGTAGTGGTGGTAGTAATAGTAGTAAAAATTAATAATAATAATAATAATGATCGGGTAAAAAAAAAAATAATTGTTTAACTACTTTCATTTTTTTTTTTAAAATAATAAAATGATATAATTTATAAATATGTTTGTGTGGGAGATACAAAACAAAAAAAAATTTTTTTAAATAATATTTTATATTGTTTATTTATGGCGTTAATTTTATCCTTTCGTTTATTTACCGTAATGATTACTTAATAAAAAAAGGGAAATGCAAGATGATACTAACGTTGTTGTGGTTGTTGTTGTTGTTAAAAATAGGAAAAGAAGTTAACAAGTAATTTTTTTTTTTTTTTAAAAAAAACTTTGAGTATGAATTATTAGAAAGGAGGAGTATCGTGTTATAAAATGAAAAGAAAAAGGAAAAAAAGGAGAAAAGGAAAGGAAAAAAAGAAAGATAAAATTAGTAAAATTTTTTTTTTTAAATTTATTTATTTTTTTGTAAAAAAAAAACGCGATGATTTTATTATGTAAATTGTTATGTCATTAAATACGAATATATTCGCGTCGTTTTTTTACCTTCTTCGCTTTTTTATTATTAAATAATTTTTATTATTATTATTAATATTAATTTTTAATTTATATCGTGAGAGATTTTTTTTTTTTTTTAAAATGTTTGCTTAGAGAGAATGAAATAAAATATTTATGTTTGATTTATTGCGGCGAAGTGTTAAAAAAATTTATTTTTCATTCGCATGAATATTTATTTATTTTTTTTTTTTCAGGTTCCTTTTTTTATTATTATTATTATTTAATTTTAATTTAAAAAAAAAATTTTTTTTCGTTTAATAAATTATTTTACGTAATCGAAATTAAAAATTTATTTATTATAACTTTCGACAAAGTGATTTTGAAATTTATTTATTTGTATTATTCATAAAGTTTTAAATTAAAAAAAATTAAAAAATTTTTAATTGTATTGCAAATTGCCTAATGAAAAAATCACAGTGAGAAGTAATTAAAAAAAATTTTTTTTTTTTTTTGTAGTGCTTGTCAAGTTTGTACTCCAAATGCCACGAACACCATATGGAGTAACTGCCAGTGTGTTTTGGCTGATGGAGTCGAACGTGGTATTCTCACAGCGAACAGAATGATTCCGGGACCCAGCATTCAAGTATGTGAAGGAGATAAAGTTGTTATTGATGTTGAAAACAGAATGGAAGGACAAGCTGCATCCATTCATTGGCACGGAGTTTGGCAAAGAGGTACTCAGTACTCGGACGGTGTGCCATTCGTAACTCAATGTCCAATTCAAGAAGGAAACACTTTTAGATATCAATGGAATGCCGAAAATGCCGGAACTCATTTCTGGCATGCTCACACTGGTGAGATAAATAAAATGAAACAATTTTTATCTCAATTTATAAAAAAAAAAATTAATAATTAATTTCAATTTATCAGGATTGCACAAATTGGATGGTCTTTATGGAAGTATCGTCATTCGTCAAGCGCCATCAAAAGATCCAAACAGTCATTTATACGACTACGATTTGACGACCCACGTCATGTTACTCAGTGACTGGCTTCACGAAGATGCTTTGGAAAGATTCCCTGGCAGATTAGCTGTTAACCAAGGGCAAACCCCAGACACTTTACTTATTAACGGAAAAGGACAATTTAGGGTAAAAAATAATTCAATTTTATGTCGTTGACAAAAGTTTTAACAAGTGCTAAATTTATCGAATCGATGTTTAGGATCCAAACACCGGATACATGACAAACACGCCACTTGAAGTATTTACCATAACTCCAGGACGAAGATACCGTTTCAGAATGATCAATTCAATGGCAAGTGTTTGTCCAGTACAATTAACAATTCAAGGACACTCCCTTATTCTTATTGCCACTGATGGAGAACCAGTTCATCCCGTTGTCGTTAACACTATCATTTCATTTTCTGGTAATTACTAATTCATACGAGCCACATGAATTTTATTTATTGTGACTTAATATTAATTCATTTATTATTTTTATTTAATTAGGTGAACGTTATGACTTTGTTATTAATGCTGACCAACCTGTCGGAGCTTATTGGATTCAAGCTAGAGGTCTCGGAGAATGTGGTATCGCACGTGCTCAACAACTTGCTGTACTTCGTTACGCCAGAGGACCATATCAACCAGATTCCGCCATGCCTAGCTACGACGTAGGTTTACCTCAAGGAGTGGTAAGTAAATAAAAATCCTGTTTTATATATGAATTAAAATCGGAATTGATTGCGCGTTCGCGCCAATACATTATTATTATTATTGTTGTTTGTTTAGGTTTTGAATCCACTCGATGCCGTTTGTAACAGAGAAAGATCTGATGCTGTTTGTGTAAGCCAATTGAAAAACGCAAAACCCGTTGATGAAGGTATCTTGCAGCAAAGACCAGACGTAAAAATATTTTTGCCATTTAGATTCTTATTTTACAGACCAGAAGAATTATTTTTGCCTCACACTTACAATCGTTATTTGGGTAAATATGAATCCATAGTATTAATTAACTAATGTCCGACCGTTAAAAACCGTAATAAAATGTTTTGTAATATTAAATTCAGTTGCACCAAGTGGAGATCATGTAATAAGTTTGGTAGATGAAATATCATACGTTGCACCCCCTGCGCCTCCACTTTCTCAAATCGATGATATTCCACCAGAACAATTTTGTAACGGTGACAACCGACCACCAGACTGTGGACAAAACTGCATGTGTACTCACAAAGTTGATATTCCTCTTAATGCTGTCGTTGAAGTTGTATTAGTAGACGAAGGTAATTTTTTTTTTTTTTAATAATTTCTCGACAAAATGTTTTTTTTTTTTTTAATATAAAAATGAATGTCGTCATTAAATATTTAATATTGAATAGTTCAACAACCAAATTTGAGTCATCCTTTCCATCTTCACGGTTACGCTTTCAACGTTATCGGTATTGGAAGATCACCAGACAGAAACATAAAGAAAATTAACTTGAAACACGCTTTAGATTTAGATCGTAGAGGGTTGTTGCACAGACAATTTAATTTGCCACCAGCCAAGGACACAATTGCCGTGCCAAATAATGGATACGTCGTATTAAGATTTAGAGCGGATAATCCAGGTACGTTAAACTATTTTATCTGCGACAAATAAATAAATAAATAAATAATGACAATTACCACCATGGTATGGGTATTTTTCAGGATATTGGCTCTTCCACTGTCACTTCCTCTTCCACATTGTCATAGGTATGAATTTAGTGGTCCACGTGGGAACACACGCAGATTTACCGCCAGTGCCTCCTAATTTCCCAAGATGTGGCGATTTTCTACCTCCAATAACACTGCACTGACACTAAAAGTCATAAAAATAATA